AATCTGAACAACATTTTTCATGAACGCAAAGGGCACTTGCCACTGGAGAGAGGGCACTTTTTGTGTTTTCTGAAAACTCCCCCCCCCCCGGTTCCTACGCCTCTGGTGTGGTTGTTCTCACAGGATTTTCTGAAAAATTCAAAAAATTGGGTTTCAGTGATATATGGGGCGGGAAGAATAACATCCTAAATAGCACACCAAAAAAGTGAATTGAAAGGCGCTTACCATTTACTCGTTCGATTTCTTCTAAACCATACATTTGCCGTGGTTCGTTTTCGTTCATCATGAGGCAGTTATGTTGTCTTTGACTAGGATGATCGACTTCACAACCATTACAGAACTCCACACAGACTTTATTTTCAAGTTAAATAGCTTAATAAAACAGAAAACATCGGCCATATTTAAGCGTCATAGTTGCCATAGCTACGCCAATTGCGCCCGTGCTATTTTTGGCATCGTATTATATTCTACCTGTGAGTTTGCCCGTTTGTTTGTTAGTTTGTTCGCATCAATACGTATCCTTAATCGCAAAGTAAAGATTCCTCGCGCGTGCTCGAAATGTATTCCTTTTTGCGGGAAAATTAATTAATCTTGTACTCTCAGGATCGACTGTTTGCTGGGCTTTGTCTCTAATTTTATAGGCCTAAAGGACAACAATACCACTGTTCGAATCTGTGTGAAAAGTTGTAATTATGGTTGGAAAATTGATTTCTGTTCTAGCGATTTATGGCCTTTGAAAGACAATCCGCTCTTAATAATCATTCACGTTTTCCGAATTCTAATTTTCAAGGAAAGTTTTCTTTCCAATTGATCTCGGACTTTCACGATTCATTACTTCTACTTTATTAAATAAACCACCTAAATTTAGCAAGCTATTCGAGGTAGGTCGCTTTCAATTGATTGATAAATAGAGTATCAATTTATCTTAATAGTATAAATTATCGTAATTCAAATCGGAAGGAAATATTGAAAACAAAAACAAAATTGTCTAATTACATTTAATCCCCGCAACTGTTTGCAATATTTTGGCGAAATCAACGTAATCTAATAATAATAATCTTGTAACGTGTTGTAAAACTATGTTTATTTAACGAACGGAGTGAGATAGATAGAGCATTCCAAACTTTAACACCAGCGTCAGCAAAGGATTTTTGTGTAATATGCAACCTTGACTTAGTTTGATAAAGATTACCGCGAACAGCAAGATCTTGTATTATAATTGTGACTTTCACTAATAGTAGTGAAAAATGATGACATGTTGATGGGCGCCCTTTTATTTATTATGTCATGCATATTGCAAGCAACATTGTAAAAGTACAGAAAGTTAACTGGAGTATTCCGGAAGCACTGAAAAACGGTACAGTGTGTTCTCTAAAATTTGCATAATTCATTAGTCGAATAGCCTGTTTCTGGAGGACGAGAAGGTGGTGGCGATGCGTTTTGCACGCTTGACCTCAAACGGATATGCTATAATTTATATATGGAAGAAGCAGACCATAATAATTCCTTTGCAACGTGTGTTTATGTACGAAATGTCTAAGTCTAGCAATGATTCCAACAGCTCTACTAATATCTAATCTCAGCTCTACTAGTCAATATGAACTTTCCATGTTAGATTTGAGTCTATAAACAATCCAAGATATTTGACATTGGATTTAATTTGCAATGGTAAGAATGTTTTGGAATTTGAATCATAGACAATTATTTGAGGATTATAATTAGTTTTTTTCTGATATGGATAGAAAATAACATAGTTTGATTTACTAATATTTAGTGTTAACTTGTTAGCCTCTAGCCATAAACAAACCTTCCGTAATTCGCCATTCACGATACGCTCAAGTGCATGAATGTCACAATGTGGGTAAAGCGTACTTGTATCATCAGCAAATAAACAAAATACAAATTTGTCAGAAGAGGATGTTATATATCGTTAATGTAATGGAAAAACAATAGTGGTCCTAGAACGATTGACTTTTCACTGCGCCTTATCCGTGATTTTATGCGCCCAATAAGGACAAAAATACTACCGATCTATTCAACGAAAAAAATATACCCACAGATGTCAAATGTATTACTAAACAACAGTATTCTAGCCACTTATGGCCTTTGAAAGACAAGCGAAATTGTATTGTTCACAAATCACTCAAAATTATTAAACTGATTAAAAAAGCAATATATTTAACCTTGATAACTTTCGATTCGTATTGTTAGTTTTCTATTTTTCAGCCGTACACCAATGAATTCATCTCACTTTTCTCCTTATTTCGTTGGTAACTTAAGCCCAAAATATTATATTTTGAAATGTTAATGTGCAGTTTTAATAAGCGAAATTGTATTGTTGACAAATCGCTCAAAATTATTAAACTAATGATTAAAAATCCTGTCCGCTTGATCCTTGATAATTTCGGAATTTCGCTCGCTATTCTGGTTTAACTAAGTGATTTCAAAGCCCAGTTGGATAGACCTTTCCAAGGTTAACGACGCCATAGGTGCAAACACAATTGTGAAAACAATGGATTCAAGATGGCGTGGTTAACCTTGGAAAGGTCTATTGCAATCAAAACCCAACGATTCGACATTGCGGTCTAGTGTCTTCATCAAGGGTGATCTAAAGATGCAGTCGTGGCTTCTTAAAATACAGGGTGTATAAAAAAAACGCAACTTCGGAATTTCCCAAGAAATCGACATTGTTTTAAAGACAAAAGATTTTAGGCGCCTGGGAATTTAAAATAGCACAACTGTCAAAATTACTGCACACGCGAGTGCATAAGGCAAAATTTATGCATTTATTTAATGCACAACAACAGTAATATGATCTATTAGCAATTCGATTTCAATTCCCTGGGGGCCTAAAATCTTTTATGCTAAAATCTTTTAGTGTCACTTTTTTGTGGGACACCCTATACATATTCCGATTATTCTAGTCTCGGCTACATGTTATAGCACAGATTGGAAATTAACTAGATGTCTCACTCGGCGTCGATCCCTGTGATTTTCATGTCCGCAATGTTCGCCAGCCTGATCACGAATTACGCAAGATGACGAGTGCGACACTGCCATAATGGCGGCGATTGCTGACGCAATGCCACGCAATCGCTGATATGTACTAAGACTGGATAACGCGTCTAATAAAGTCTATTGTTGAAAAGTGAGCCGGAAGTAAATCTGCGACACCCGATTCAAGGGACCCATATAGTTTTCGCGTTTTCAGAAGAATTTTGAGCACAAAATTCTGCTGTGGTGTTAAAATAAGCGTCGTACGTCAGTTCCCATCAACAACCTTATTTAATCCTGGTTGTCATATGTCGCCGACGTCGCAAGACGCTCATCGCCGACCGTCGCCGATATATGAGAACCAGGCTTAAGTATATGTTCTGGTGGCTGCACTCAAGTGAAGATATATGTTTGCGATGTTTATAATAATAGATTTTATTTACCACCTTTGGCAAAAGAATTACAGTGGTATTAACATTGACTGCTTCAAACATGAATTGCCAAGCAGTGTCCTATGCTATAATGAACTAAGAGAGCACTCTGTCCCTGAAGATCTTGATAGGCTTGTGAATATCTACAACACCACCCTCACAAGTATGATAGACAAGCATGCACCACTGACAACCAAAACTGTGAAAGCAAGATCTCAGGTCCCTTGATATAATCATGACATTGCAGCAGCGAAGAGAAAACGGCGCAAGGCAGACCGGATTTGGAGAAAAAGCAAAGCAGAAGATGACTTACTACTGTTCAAAAGGCTGAAAAATCATGTTACGTACATCAGCAATAAGGCGCGCAGAGAGTTCTACGCACAGTTTATCAACGAAAATGGAAATGACCAAAATAGACTGTTTAGAGCAACAAATGCCCTCCTCCACCCGAAGGATGAAGTGTGCTTCCCTGATTACTCTGACGATACATCACTTGCGAATGACATTGGCCATTTTTTCTATAAAAAGGTCATCAATATTCGTAAAAATCTTGACGCTGTGGTTATTGATCAATGTGATAGTTCTCGACTAATAAATGACCCTAAGTTTGGTTTTAATCAAAATCTGGAGAAATTCAAGGTTCTTTTAACTGACATGGTGTCCCAGCTTATTCAGAAATCAGTGAAGAAGAGTTGCGCCCTAAATCCTATGCCTACATCACTCCTGGTCAAGAGCCTAAATGAACTGCTACCTGCCATCACCTGCATGATCAACTCCTCCCTCTCGCTAGGTTATTTTCCCTCTGCTTGGAAATCCACCCTTGTCGATCCAAGGCTCAAGAAAACTGGTCAACCTGCATCGCTATCAAATTTAAGACCAATAAGTAACCTCCAGTTTGTATCTAAACTGACGGAAAGAGCTGTAAGTGACCAGACACTTGAACACATTAAATGTTCAGATATATACCCAATCCTACAATCAGCATATCGACCTGGTCATAGTACGGAAACAGCCTTACTAAAAGTACATAATGACATCATGTGCTCTATGGACCAACAAAGAGTCTCACACCGTCTCACTACTAGTACTTTTAGATTTGTGTGCTGCATTTGACACTGTAGATCATCAAGTGTTATTACGTCGTCTTGAGGTCAGCTTTGGAATAACAGGTACTGCCCTTAAATGGTTTAAATCCTACTTAACTAACAGATCTCAACGTGTGCTAGTAAATGGTAACTACTCCGAAAGTTTCTCTCTCCCTCATGGTGTTCCTCATGTTGTCTCGGTACGTTGCTTTTCCGGCACAATCTATACGCAAGCAAGCTATTCGAAATAGTTAAGTGTCACCTGCCAGACGTGCATGCGTATGCTGATGATACTCAATTATACCTTTCTTTTAAGCCGGACGGTGCTACTATTGAGCTTGATGTAATATGTGCACTACAGAATTGTATCAAGGATATCAGGACTTGGATGACAGTTGATAAGCTCAAACTGAATGATGGGAAGACATAGTTTTTAATAATTGGAACTGCTGCTCAGCTCAAAAAGGTTAACATCTCTAGTATTGTCATTGGTTAAGATAATGATCCAGTAGTATCGTGTACCAGAAATCTCGGAGTATGCATGGTTTGATAACAACCTTAATATGTCGCATCATATAAATAAGACTTGTCAATCCGTAATATATCATCTTCATAACATTAGACGTATTCGAAAGTTTTTAAGCTATGAAGATAGAAAGTCTGTGGTACAAGCACTAATAATGTCAAGGATAGACTACTGCAACAGTCTTCTATTTGGTGTAACAGATGTACATCTGTCTAAACTACAACGGATACAAAATACAGCAGCACGTCTTATCTGTTCAATCCCTAAACATGATCACATCACTCCGACTCTTATCAAACTACACTGGCTTCCCGTTCGATTAAGGATCAAGTTCAAAATTGCCATGCTTTTAAATGTATCCATCAGTATGCACCTCTCTATCTTGTCTATCTTTTAAAAGTAAGAAAGACATCGTGCTATAGTCTAAGATTTAACGAAGGCACATTTCTTGAAGACTACAGTACAAAAACAAAGAAAACACTCGGC